ACTCAGTACAAAATTCCCAAACTAGCTTAGGCGGCATACACGACCAGTCCGTTTTCCAGAAGAGCTGAATATGCATTTTCAGATTCAAATCCAAGGGAAGCACCTCTATGCAGCACCTTGGTATCAGCAACATTGGCTTTCTCCATCTAAAGCCTGATCACATGAAGAGACACCTGGGTCCCACATGACAAAGCCCTTTCTCGGAGGAAGGGACCGCATTTTGAAACTCTTCAGATTTACAGAGACATGCAAGTGATTGTTGAGAGTAGTGAAGGAACAATGGACCAGAGAAATTCAAACTGGACCATCCTTTCAGTATATTGAACACTAGCTTGGAAAGCCTGTCTATAGGAGTCTGAAGTTTTACTTTCAGAAAGTTACAAAGGCTCAGCATTTGTGCCTCAACAATAGCCAGGCCTTTACCAGACACAGGTATTTATGGTGATTTATAGGCAGTTAAAAATGTCAGCTTCTTGGTGAAGGAAATCTGTCAAAAGATCTTCTAAAAGATAGTATCTGCAGAGTGCCATTTATACCAAAAGAAACCCATATGTGTTGCACTTGGATCCAAGCAGCAGGTTTTAGCCTATTTTAGGTACAGCAAAGAACAGTGAACCAAGAGTGAAATATGGCACTTAATGTCCTACAGTCTGACACAAGAGAAGACAAAAAGTAGTTTCATCCAGGTGCACTGCTCCCCACTCCACACCCCCAGCACACTGAAGGTGAAAGAGAACAGCAAAGGGAGATGGGACAATACCACTCTTCAGGACCACAGTTTTTCACAAATTACTGGGACCTTGGGTATCCGAAGCTGTCAAGGGCCCCGTTCTGAGTATCAGTGAAAATGTGCCTCTCGGAGGCGATAAATCGGTACACAAAACCACTGAGAAAACAGAGCACCATTTCTTTCCTGCCACTTCAGTTTAACAAGTCACCCCGCAACTCAAACGGAAAAAGTCCCATCAGTGGGTATCCACCACTGTGAGAGAGATGCTGCTGTCTCTGTACAGTTCAGAGAAATCATTTCCCTTCAAACATCTAAAAACACACATCCAAGCACTGCTCAAGTGCAGCAGCTTCACCATGTCACAGGCCTTACTTTTAACTCTATAACCAGATCACTTGATATACCTGGGCCTCTCTGGGTCTGACAATACATGGGGACACAATGCAGGAAGGGACAACCATTCCCCTTGAATAAGCAATCTGTGGCTTCCACCTCTCAGAGAAAAAAAAAATGCAGCACAGGCCACTGACTTATAGTAAGAGAATGCTTCCAGTATGTGGCTAGAAATAGATACTTCTGAATTTGGCTGGAGAAATGCCCCCACACCAGTATCCAGTCCACACCACAGAAAACCTGACTACTATGTTTTGTCCAGGACACTAATACAGATATAAATAGTATGAGAGAGGAAGTTTTCATAAAAGAAACACAAAATTATTAATAAGAGATTAATTTACAATTAGAAAGCTCATATAGAAATGGTAACTGGAGATCTCAAGAACGGTTACTATTTTCCCTCTTTATCATTCAGCAGCTTGTAGAGGCATAAAAAAATGTAAATTTTTTGCCTCTTCAAACACAAACTGTTTATGTATACTACATATAATTTACATGTGTATCGATAAAGGCAGATTTCACAACAGAAAATTCATCTTAATAAGAGTAACAACATGCTTGAGATGTGATGCTGGGCATATGTGTTATTTCCACATTCAGAAGATACAGTAATTCAGTCTAAGATGATAAACACACACAACACTGTAGTAGGTCTCTACAAAAGAGAAAGCAAGACAGTGAAAGAAAGTAGCAGCAACAGAACCTGATTTACTAGCCTAAAAAAGATATTATTAAAGGTTAACAGCAGACAGAATCCCTAAGCTGAATATTCCCTCTCATTACATCCTGGAGCTAAAGAAAAAAAAAAACAAACGATGAGGTTCAACACACCACCTCAGAGCTCCTCTGCTGCTAAAAGCCACCTTTACCTCATCTCCATTACCAGTTCAGAACCTTCCTGCTAGGCCATGGCTCAGCTGCCTTGAACCCCCTCTCCACCCATGACCCACCATCACAACTGTACCCAGTTTCCAAGGTGCCCAACACCCAGAGATGAAACAGTGTGAGCTCAAAGGAATTTCGGAGGATGTCAAATTACTTCAGAGTAAGCATTTTCAAGGCATGTTGTTGAGACATACTCTTTTCAATGCAAAAAGGGCGGGGAAAAATAAATGACCGGAATAACACCCTTTCTCAAGAAAAGGAGAAACACAAATGATAAATCCACTGAGGAAATCACTGTCTTGATACAATCTAATTGAAAAGTTCACTTCAATTCTCTATGTGCAATGACAAAAAATATTGCTTAATCAATCTCCTCACTACATTGAGATTCTCAGTCCTATGCCACTTGCCTCAGTATTTCTTAACAAATTGTATGTTGCTATTTATAATCCAAACACATTGCTCCAAACTGGTTACCTTTCTACAGTAGTTCACACTTTTCTATTGCTTACTCTTAGCATTGGAGAAAATAAACTCCTACAAATTTGGTTCTAGCTCTGCTTGGAGTTTCAGCTGCATGAATAAGTCGTTGCAGCCTTCCAAGCAAATTAATTAACCTAGCATGCATGTCCATACAGATGCTCTTACCCATCAAAGAGACACCAAGTAGATTGTCACTCCCAGAGTAAGTGCCTGCATACCCGTAGCTAACACTGCTGCATTCAGTAAGGATGGGTTGACTTTACGGCTGTGCCAAACTGGGCCACAACGTGCAAGTGCTCTTCAGCAGCATGCTTCTGAAGCCCTGGTGTTTTCTGATTCTGCAGTGCACAGCTTCAGGAAGCTGAACTAGCAGAAAACTGAATGCAACTGCTTTTCCTCCACGAAAAGAAAACTCTAAAAAGTGGCTCACCAAGGAATCAGGGCCAGCTTAATGGAAGGCGTAGAAACCTTCATCTCTGGAGGGACAGAATAGGAGCGTGTCAGCTATAATGTTCTGCTGCGAGGTGAAATAACATCCTAGGTCCACTCACTAGCTTATCTACCAGTTCTTTATGCATGCAATACCACATCAGAAGGAAAACCACCAAAGAGAACTTTGGAAAAGTTTCACAAATGATAACCAGTCCGGTACTGTCAGCTGAAATTTGCTGTAAGTTCAGAGAAAATTTCCTGGCTTTTAAGTCTCCTTTGCCTATCACAGGCTTATCTGAACAGACAGCAATGTTGTCAGCAGCACCTCACCTACCCTCCTGGCCATGCTTGCAAGACACCAGCGGAGCACTGCAGTGAGTCTCCTCCACTGCACATAGGGAGAGCTGAAATCTCAGTGCAGCCTGTGTTGGGTCCCACAGAAAGTGTCAAGGGGAGCTGAAGGTCCTCGCCATGGGCTGAACACAGGGACTCTTCTCTCAGTGCATGAGATTTTTCTCATGTCTTGAACACAGGCTGCCATTAATTTCTTTCTCTCTTCGGCAACACGGCACCCCAAAACCTTCAAATCACCTTTCATATGGGGAGTAACGGCTTACCTACTCTACTGATCAGGACAGCAAGGCATAGCGAGGAGGAACAACACACCCAAGGTCACTCTGAAGTAAGATGACTGGGGTTCCCAGCTCATTATTTTATTTTCTAGGCAAGACAGCTTTACAAGCATGAAGTCAGTTACCCAGCAGCCTACTTTGACAAGCTAGTAAATATTTCAGTTAATTCCCCTTTTACCTTACAACAGTAGCAGGTATTTCAAAACAATTAAACCTAATATATAGATAACAAGAACATACATCCTATATAAAATTAGCCGAGCAAGGGATGGAACAGAGGGGAGTGAAAATGTTACCAGAACTCCTAACATAAGCTTGTTTGGTCTGTTAACAAATGTCATCACCAACTAATATTTGTATATGCTGAAGATGCATGCATTTATGATGAGTTTTACATCAGATGTGCCAAAGCAGGTAGTAAAATGCTGAACAAATCCTACAAACCAGCTATAAGCACCACATGGGAACGAGAAATACAGAATTGTCAGAGTAATTCCGAGTTGTAATTGATCTAATTCAGCATAGACTCCCAGCATCTCCCAGTATCTGGCACCGGAGACTTCAGGGGAAAGTACCAGAAACCATGCAGAGGGCGTGTTACATGCACGTGGGAAGTTTTCCCCTAATCCTCTGCAAACCATAAGTACCAGTCTGCAACCTGACTCAGAAGAAAATTTGTCCAATTAGTAAATTAATCTAACTGATGTGACTGACTGATTTACTTAAATTTATCTACAAAACTTGAATGACTTTACCCTGAGTTACAATTCTGACAATGAAGTTCATTGTTAATCTATGAATTAAAACACACACCTCCTCACTGATGATAGAAAGTACACATGCAAAAAGTTCAAAGAATTAGGTTACGTATTTTAAAGTTATTAAAAAGCAAACAAAAAAACTCCATTCAACAGCCATCAGGCAGTTCTTTTTATTTATGTTAAGGACCAAAATATATTACCACTGTGGCAATAAGTGAGAGTAGCCAAGGCCTACAGAGTATGTTTAACAGGAGTTGACGGTTGTATGACAAGTGGCCTAACCTGAATCTCCCTGTTTGGTACACTTAAAGTAATATACCCAAAGATATTTAAAAAAAAAAAAAAAAGAAAAAAAAAGCACCAAATCATTTTCACAAAAGCTCATATGTAAAGGAAAGAGAAAATCTGTTTTCAGAGCAACAAGTCTCCCGGTGTTTATCAAAGCCAAGCAACTCCAGAGCCAGAGCTGATGCAGACACAGAATTGCACACGCTGGAATTTGATGCTGTCTCTTATACACAT